TGAGTTTTGGTCGCTGCTCGAAGTCTGTAACTACATTTCGGAATGTTGCGAATCTTGATTGCTTGTACTTTTCCCCAGGGCAAAACTTTTCCTTCTCAACAACACATTCAGTGTACTGACGCACAGCCGGAGATTGTATTATACTTCAGAGGGAGTGAAGCTGTATGTACGTGTAGTCTATAAAGTAGTTGTAGAAAGTAAGAGGCAATTATAATACAGATGTATGTTTCCCAACTTCACACACTTTAGTAATGCAACTTCCTTGTCTATAGAACTGTGAATGCCTTTTTTAGTAGCGTCTCGCATGTTGTCTTCCTTATGTTAATGGCAAAAGAGGAAGAGTGGCCGACATGCAGTCAACAACAGAAACAGGAGAATATATTACGTCCGTAAAGCAGTGTGGGCCAATTCTTAGTACTAACCTCCATCAGGCCTTTCTAAAGGGTTATAGATAGTAAGGTTCTAGCCTCAACCAGGCACCGCGGATCGCTGGAAAAATAGTAGAAATTGGCCGACATATACCAGAGAAGATCCCGGGCCATAGAAGATCCAATTCGCGACCCACGGATCACAACTCGCAATCTTCTATCCCTTTATTTCGGCCAATTCCTACTATTTTTCCAGCGATCCGCGGTGCCTGGTAGAGGCTAGTAGTAAGGTTCGGCAGAAATAGGAATAAAAACAAGGTCAAGGACTTTCTAAAGGGTTATAGAGAGTAAGATTCGCCTCAGTAATTGACCAGTGGACTGAGCCGGGTTAAAAAAGGTAACATGTCCCTTTGGGAGGTTTGTGTCATGCCGCTATGTTCTTTGAAGTTCCTATCCAGGACACCATTAAATGTACCAAGTCGTGATCATTATATTGCTTTTCCGGTGGACCGCATGTAGCGGAGCGGAAAATGTTTATCGAACTCTATGGCGACGAAAATCCACCGCGGCTAGCTAGCTCCTTAGTAGGCTATTAAAATTGTGGCGTACGTGTATATGTTATATAACCTTAGACGTAACCAGGTCAACCGGCAGCTCGCTGCAAGCATCCCAACCGGACCCAGCATGTCTCCCTCGATATGGTGCCGCTGGAGAAGACGGATGCCCAAAGTGTGTGGGTCTCAGATTCGCAACCTGTTAGTCACCTTATCCACCAGAGGTGTCACAAGTGTCAGCAGATATACATCCGATACTAAACTATAACGCCCTAAAGGCAAGTCACGCCTACTTTCACTCTTAGAACTG